AGTGAAAATGGCTGACAAATACGCTATTAATCAAAGCGTTAGAAAGAGCCGAAAGAGTTGTTTAAGAAATCAACGAATTTTTCGAACACGAGTAGATGCCATTTCTTTTTATGTCAAGTCATCACTAATAAAAAATTTTAATTCATAATTGATAAAATTATATAGCAAATTTTTCCAAAAATAAAAAGTAGCTTATTCATCGACAAAAAGAATTATAATGATAGTAAATTATATGTATAAATTATTAAGAGCATAAACACTATATTAAGATTATTTATTAATCATTAGTGTTAAGTTCTGATTAATAAGTAATCTTAATAAACAAAACAATTTAATACGAGATCAAGGAAGAAAACTATATGAAAAAAGGATTAAATTAAAATACTTTTTCTATTACACGGCGGATTTTAGCTCCAATACATAATTAGAACTAATTCTCTCCACAAATCAAATTGTCTTTTTCTTGTAAATTCGTTGTCGAATTTTATATTTTTCGTTTTCTTATTATTTTCTATATATGTTACTAATACTTCTTTTTGTTCTTCGTTTCTTTTTTAAAATAAAATATTGGAGGTTTCCATTTTGCTACAGGACAAAACTTTTAACTATAACACATGTAAACTAATTCACGTTGATTTGTTTACAACTTGTTACAGTAAAGTTGATTGGTCGAATCAGTATAGTCGCAAACCCAGATGCATTGTAAATAATCCCATCATGCTTAACGATACACATAAACAAGTGAATATGACCTACTTCCGCTCGCCTTTCGAGCTCGCTCGATGGGTCTAACTCGAGACTACCGATTATGTGAGTCACAGTAACACGAGTGAGTTCGATGACGTCAATTCGAGTACAACACGAAAAACTCGAGACTAAGGGCCCTGGTGACTAAATTTTTGAAAAACTCATTATTATTTACTTTATACAATTTATTATAATTCATCTTTAAATAATTTAATATATTTAATACATAGAAGTTTCTCAAATCTAAATTTATCTTTGGTTTAATATGGTGGGAGCATCAGTTGGGAAGCCTTTCTACAGAGTATTCTTTGTGAAGCTTAGTAGGCAAAAGATATGTAAAATATTGAAAGAGTTCAATACACCTTAAAACCAACAAAGATAATTTAATAAACTAATGTTTTCAACATTTTTAAAAAGTTTTCTTTAGGTTGAATCAGTCAAAGCTCTAACAGAATGGAATTCAAACAGTTCTGAATCATATAAAATTGCCAAAATGCATAGTTATCTCTGTTCAAATTCCATTCCGTTTAAGCTTCGATTTACTCAATCTGAAGAACTTTTAAGCTATAGACATGGTACAATATTTTGTCTCAGTGACATTTGTTTCCTCTTCTAGACACACTGAACAATATAATGCTTTGTTGCACTGGCTAAGCATATTGAGACAAAACACTGTCATTCACTCATTTTTGGGGTAGATCTAGTAGAGATAGAAGCAATCTGAAGATATGCCATAGAAAACTAAGAAACGAAAAAACCTATTGAGTACATCCAATATTACTAGACTATCAAAAGAAAAATTTATACAGTCAACCCCCCCTATAACACGGAAGATACATTCCGGTTTTTATGAATCCATTTTCTACGAGTCCAGCCAATCACAGCCCAGCACGTATGCAGTTTACGGACTACGGCTGTTTGAAAGGTTTCTTCCATAAAATTAATCAATTCTAGACAAATTCGATTCAACATTTCCAAAATACGTATAATTTTTTGGGAATAATCCATATAAACCAGTGATTCTCAAACTTTTTCGATCCACCGTCCCCTTTGTTCCATAAAGTTATACCCAACGCCCCCTAACCCATTTTCTCTTGTGTGAGAAAAGGATTGGAAATATTCTTAGGAAAACTTTTCTATAAATCTCACACTTTGTGCCCTTACTGTACATTGTTCTCATCATCTGGAAACCATTAAACGCAATGTTTCCTCTTATCAGCCCCAATTTTGCCTTTGGTCACTGTTCAATACCCTGCCTCTATCATAGATCTATTCATCGCACCAGAAGGGGGCGTTATTGCTTACTTTGAGAAACGCTGAGCTAAAATAAAAGTCAATGTGTTAGAAATATTCAAGTTGTGACCCTTCAATAAAAAATATATAAAATGTCAACATTTTATATATATTCCGTTGAATTTTTATATATAGAATTTGTCTGCCGTTGCCCCTCTATATTTCCTTAACGCCCCCCAATTCTCTTTGAGCCTTCTACTGCCCCCCTGAAAGCCTCCAGCGCCCACAAGGGGGCATTATTGCCCACTTTGAGAAACGCTGATATAAACTATGCTATAAACAAAAAATTGTAATGTGCACCATTTGACTATGCCATTGCTTAAGCTTGTTTTCGTCGTGGAGCTTGTCATCGAATGGTGCTCGCGTGCTTCCTGATAAATTATTTTTTTTGTGAAAAATTCGCTGAACTTTGGAGACATCATTAATATAAATATAATTTTTATGGATGTTAAATAATAAATGGTTTTTAGTAGGTCCGCTGCTCGTTTAACAGTTTGTACAATATCCGCTATTGGTCTAGATTCGACCAATCCCATCGCGACACGAGTCAGCAATGACGTTTTACCAAATTATTTGAGTTTTTAGCATGTTTGTATGAATACTGTCGCAATTTTTTCACTGTGATATAGGAATCCGAACTATAGGAACCCGTGTTATAGGGAGGTCGACTGTACAGAAAACTACAAACTTATCCTGTAAAAATTTTTCTGATTTTTGAATGAATGTCAATAGTTTGACAAATTATTACATCTAGTTCTATAAAAAGCAAAGTGATTTTTGTGTTTTATAGAAGACAAAAATGTCATTATTGACAAAAACTCCATCATTCATGGTATCTTTTATTGTCTTTCACAACACGTGGCTTCTCCTTGAATATCAGTTATGCTCAGCTTGCTACTTGAACATCAGCTATGCCACAACATTTGGTGTGGTGATAATGTGTGTACTCTCACATAAACACAAGACAAGAGCATGTTTCATTACAAAACTGGTGCCATCCACTGAAACTTTTTGTCTCCATTGCAGTCCCACATATTGCAATGGAATTAGGCTGAGAAACAAAGCTTCTCTGAAATAAAGTATCACACTGACTATAGCCTTAAAAAGACTGAAGAAGTTAGTTCATTAAATCTTTTTTGCTGGTTTTAAGGTATGTTGAATTTTTTCATTAGTGCAATACCAGTTTCTATTGATATATTTGGATAGAATATTAATCATGAAGAGAGATACTTCATTAAAACTCCAAATTGCCTTTAAGATATCAGATTGGCAAAATAAAAATCTGGGTACTGACCCAGAGTCTCAGGCATTGTGTAAATAAAATTCAGGCATGAGAAGCCTTAGCAACAATTCCTTTGTATTTGAGAACAATTTGATACAAATACAGCTCTGTACCTTTTCAGAACTGTAGACCATGCCCATAGAAGTAAAAGAAGTCAAAGAAATCAAGGTCTGTATGTAGCCCTTCATATAGATATAATCCCTGAAATCAGCCTATCTGGAATTTTGAAGACTCTCGAAAATGGGGTAAAATTTAAAAGTAAAAACTCCAGAACTATTTCTCAAAACAATGCTAAAACTCAATTGCTTCTGACTTTACTAGAGATGGCTAAAAGCTTACAGAACACAAGAAACTACATTGCACCGATTTCAGGAAAGCAGAATCACACTTCACACACTGTTAAGCCATAACAAAAAGTTTAAAAGCAAATACCTTGCGAGGATCACATTTAGAGACACAATTCCTTTGATTATTTTGGTCATCTAAGAGACCTAGAATTTGGAGACGTTCCAAATCCCTCATTCAGAACTGCAATTTTACTAATAAGATGTGAACAATAAATGAGGGGTTTCCCAATCACCCAGAATTGTAGATAAACAAAAATTCAAAGAAACCACATCCATACATATGACCCTTTGCAAGATACAGTGGTACCTCAGGATACGAAATTAATCCGTTCCGAAAGGTGGATCATCTTTTCCCATACGATTACATGTAAAACCAAATAATTCGTTCCAACGCGAAAAACATACTCAAATTAAAGCCAAGTAATACATTTAAAAAAATAACTGTAGTAAGAAAAACAAATGAAAAATGCGAACTAATGTAACGTCGTATGGTGAGTTTTTGTTCGTATCGTGGAGCAAAAATATGTTCGAATTTCATGTCGTATCCTGAAAATTTCGTATGCTGGGGCGTTCGTAACCTGAGGTACCACTGTATTCAGTTCCAAAGTCATTTTTAACCACATATCAGTACTTCTATTCTCTACATTCTGCGTCGATCAAGGTTGGCCATCGAACAACACACAGTCATGCGCTTTCACACTGCAGCTTGGCATCTCTCTAAAACTATATAACATCAAGTACTCCACAGTATATATACAGATATATGGTTCCTTTGACTTTTTTCACCCTACCAGTATGCTCTACAGCTCTGTTAAGGTCTCAACCATCTCATTAGTCGCACTGGCTGAATAATTAAATACGATAGCAGAGCGACGTGACTCCCAAAACACACACGACCCAGAAATACGCCAATTTCAAGCGGCCATATCCGGCAAATGGTCACACACAGATATATGGTTCCTTTGACTTTTTTCCCCCTACTGGTATGTTCTACAGCTCTGTTAAGGTCCCAACCGTCTCATTCGAGGTTTGAATTAAGGGTATACCGAATTAAGCCCTTTATTTCTTGAAGAAACAAAAGCAAATATGGAATAAAAAACATTATTTTAAATTATTTCTCTTACAAAATTACTTTTTAAGTATAATCTCAGTAAAATTTCTTTCAGGAAAGCATTTAAATAAGCCGAATCCATTACATGTCAAAGATTTAAGGCTTAGTTAAAACCGTATTTTATTCAAATTCTAATTAAATGCAATACGTAAATGAATAATTTATGCATTTATATTCGAATTAATATGGAATAAATCGAAAAAAAAATAAAATAGTTTACCAGATTCAATGGAGTGTCCATTTTTCTTACGAAATAAAAATAATCGAGTAAAAAAGAAAAGAGAAAGCGTGTAAAAATCTAAACAATGTCAACCAGCGCCATCTTACTTATACGAAAATATTTTTGAAACTAATAAATTTTAATTAATATTATTAATATTTAAGAATATTATGTAATTAAATTTAACTTGTTAATTATAATTAAATTTTTATGTTATTAATACTTCATTATTTCCGCAATATTTTGTATATTATAGTAAAATTTATATTGCTTAATTTTTAAAATTAATTGTTTTCGTTATAATTATCCAATTTTGTTTTTTTTTTATAATCTTTTCTACAGGAGGGCACTAAACTTGCCTTTTTGGGAAGCCCATTGTGGGTTCGACCAGACTCACAATGGGACGACCGGATGATAAGGGGAAGACGTACCGTACCACCTCTAAAAAGTGAGTTTTTCGACTCGATCTCGATTCCCCAGAGCGATTAAGGTAATTGTGAGGGACGAACAGACCCACAATAAAGTGTTATTTTAAATTTTAATTTGGAAAATATAATCGGTTAAATTCGAACGTTTTATCGAGTTAGGCTAAAAGCCATAAAATTTATTTCCCACGGAGTTTGTTCCTTGTTGAGTCGAATCAAGTTAGTCAGGGATGTGTCACCAGGAACTTTTGATGGAGAATCCATATTGGACGTGCGACCGTTAAAGGCCATCACCTGACCTCATGGAAAAAACCCAAGAGAAAAAAAAAAGAGAAAAGAAAACGATCCCGAGGTCAGTCGTCATCCGAAGTCCCTCTACAGAAGTCGTCATTCAAAGCCCGCCCAACCAAGTCGTCCTCCAAACCATTAAAACCGTGCCCCAGGATTAAAACCGTAACACCGAATTAAAACCGCGACCAGGATTAAACCCGAGAAAAACATTCGTGCTGGATTAAGCCTCTACACTCCTCCGTGCCTCCACCCCAGTGAACGGACAAGATTCTGATTCAAGATTCAACGACAAGATTCAAAGAACTGTCCATCCAAGAACTGTCCATTCAAGATTCAAAGAACTGTCCATCGACAAGGTATTTATCAACCCGCGATTCGGTTGTAAACTCTCTCTCTCCGCGGCCTAGTATAGTTAAGGACAATAATATGCCGATAGTATTTAGTATCTCTGTATAGTATTTAGTTCGACTTAATTAAAATCGTTATTTACTTGTTACTATGGAGTCCGAGTAAGTTACTTCCGCGTCTCTCTCCTCACCTCTACTCCGAATCCAAGCGCTCACACGCTACCGCTCGCGAAACTTTAGACGTAACGTCACGATTTCCGAGTCCCCCAGAGACTCGGTGGTGTCAGATTCAGCCCTCCTGACAGGGCGCCAAAGAGGTGCCGACCCTACGGTCACATAATCCACTACGAATGCAAGGCACATGCCTAATGATCCGGATCTTGGAGGCACCAAAATATAAAGCAATTTTACCAATTGTATATCATAATTTAAAAACAATTCTATAGGCCCATCAGTGGTCAAGCGGTCTTCGTACCCTGAACACTGCTGGGAGTTCGGTCGTGGGTTAGCGCCTCGTTCGGACGGGTTGGACACATGGAGTTTTCCGAGTTTTTTCCACGTCTGTAACGCCTAAATAGGGCCAGTTTCCCTTTAAAAAAGACCTCCCGGAAGGCATCCTTCTAGGCAGATCGCCCAAGTGTTGCGTTGTCATAACTTAACAACTAAACATATAGCTAGAATTCATGGTTATTAGCTTATGTCGTAAAGTTATGTGGAGAGGACACACTATTTTCAGTGCCTAAAAAGCCCTGAAGGTCTTAATCTACCATTGTTACTAAAATAATTTCTTCATAGTAGCAAGCTGATGCTTTTATTACCTCATTCACATGATTAACCCTGTCAGTATTACGGTCTTTCTTGTCAAGAATCATAATTATGTTTAAGGAAATTGCTCCACTGCATTTTCTTCTCTATTTTGTTCTAAAATTCATCTGAGTCAGAATTTCAATACAAGATAAAAAATTATTGTGTCCAAAACAATACAAGAAATGAGTCCATCTTAGATTTGACTAGATTAAGTCCACTTGTCCTGGATATATTGGATCTCATTACGTCATTTGGGTAATGAGAGTAATGACGTAACGAGATTCAATACGTACAGAACAGATCACCCTTTAAACTTTCTGAAGGTTTGAAAGGAACTCAAATCCGAGTTACTCAGAACAAGATTCTTTATTGTCTTAGTCATTTGTTACTCTAACTCGTGATGCAACATGCACCGTCAATTATGTTACTTTTATTTATGTTTGAGACCCAGCATCTAATATTTGGATTTGGTCTGTATTGCCCGTGTTTCCCCAACCTTCAGCTAACATGGATGAAGGATGAAAGGCAATCTAACGACTTAATTTTTCATTATAATAGTGTTTTATTACTACAGGGTTGATTAATGAGAATGGATCAATCCATGGACAAGTGTTTTCAGCTAAAGTTTGGAGAATCCACAAGATGAATCCTCCAAACTTATTTAAAATTATTAAGATTTAAATTGAAATGAATCTGCTCTTCAAGCAATACAGTGTCTTAATTTCTCCATTAAAGGGAATTCATCTTCAGTTGACAACAGGAATTTAGCACACTTTATCGATTTAACTTGTATTTAGGTTTTCATGTCATCTTATCGTAAGAAAAAGTAAATATAGTTACATTGAAAGATATGTAAACAGGTCATCGCTAGACTTACAGACATTAATGTCTTGTATCTAATTCACTTTGCAAGTACAGTATATTTTAATCTATCAGTTAGGCTATCAACATATAAAAAAGTAAAACGCAAAGATATTTAAAATTATTTATTAAGAACGGGGATCACTCCGTTCGAAGTTGAAGCTTGGAAACTCTACAGCATTCAGGGAAGGAGTCGATGACGTAATTTAGTCGTAATCCGGTCTAGTCTGTACGGAACAATATCTCATACCGGGGCACCCAGTCTCCACGTGTCATTTGAAAAATTCTCATATGAGCAAGATAGCGGATGTCACTATTCTCGTGTGTTCGAAATGTCCTGAAAAGTGCGTTAGTTTTGAGGACGTGCGGGCTCATATTCTGTAGATACACAAGGCAAAGATTATTTATAATAATGGTGATATAGCGTGAATTTCGTCAAGGACTATCCCATAATCATCGGAAGTAGTCTCTTCGTCTTTATTTAAAAACCAACCTGTCATTTTGTTTTAGCCCAGAGAACAAATTTTTCCGGTTGATTACCAACGAAAAGCTTCAGGATAAGTGATGTCACAATTCGCGCGAATGGATCGCCCAATTCTAATCCAGTGTACGATCCTGAACGCACCCTTGGATTCGTGTTAGAGGAGTAACTTAAAAGCGAAGCTGTACTGAAGAACTCATTTGTTGTTCCTATACTAGTGTTCTTTTGAGTGCTTTCTTGTTTAACATCACGTAACAAATACATAAAATACATTTCTTATACCGAAAACAGTACTTATACATATAAATATTCCCTTCCTTATCTGAAAAAGCCCCATCTCTATTTTACAAATAGATCTATTTAGTTCACTCATGCTTACTTGTATCGACGGTCTTGGCAGATGATGTAATTTAGGCCCATATGTGCATACCTTTAAAAAGGTTAAAATTTTATAGTTTAACAAGATACGAAACAGAAAATATTTATAAACATTATAGAAATGAAATTAACAACAAAATCACGCGAAATCTTCATTGTTAGTGTCATAGGAAAGAGGTTTTCTATCGCTCCTAAAGGTCTAGATTCGATTTCTGTATTGGTTTTCATACATTTTTTATGAATAATTCGGATTATTGCTTCATGAGTTGTGACAATCATCTCATTAATTAATTAACTTTTGGAATGTAACCCGTGTTTTGCATTATTCCTTTGTTTTGTATAGCACGAATACGTATATTACGGCATTTTTTCGGAACGTAACTATTGTGTCATATGAGGTATACCTGTATATTGATACACCAAATAAATGGGTAACACCAAACGAATAAAATATGAATACAAAATTTCAAAAAAGTCATATAGAAAATTAATGCGGTCGTTAATCATACAGGCATCACTGCTTCTAGTGTTAAGTGTATTAAAATGCTAACATAAATTAGTGCTTTCACTGTAAAAATACAGGTAATGCTTTACTGCTTCTCCTTTAAAAAAATACAAACGTCATAGGATAAATCAATGCAGCATTATTTCTACTCTAAAATATACGAAGATAATATAAATAAGTATGAATAACACACACAAATAATGATTTCAACTATTATTTGTAGCCTTTGCACTAGTATATTTATAAAGTAATTTGATATACGCATAATAAAAAGCCAACAGTTAAGAATTTATAAAGAAATAAGAAGAAAGTAACAATGGAAAAAATAAAATGGACAAAAGAAAATAGAAAAACAAAATTAAATAAGCTTTAAAGCGAATTGAATAAATATCCGGAGGTGACTCTAAAAAATTCAACGAAAGACAAATGCATTATAGATATGAAACAATAACATTTCATCTAATTAAATCAATTGGATTTCTTGTCAAATGTTTCTATTTTTACACGAAAGTAAACATAAATTAATTATAATAATAATATACATAACATAATAAAACCCCCATTGTATCCCATAGAAAATCAATAGGATAAAGCGGGATCATCAGAGGATCCAGGGATGGAGTAAAGTCAATTGAATAAAAAATGAATTTGATAAAATTATTAAAAAAAATAAATTATAAATTTTATTATTTTCTTAAATTTTTTATATTTTTATCAATTGTTTATAAATAATAAAAACGGTTATTGAATTTCGTCGAGGTCTTTCATCCGTTGGTTTCTGCGGTTTTTATTAAATAAATAAGTTATCTTATAACTTATTTAATTGAAAATATAAAGTATAATTTATTAATATATTTAAATTAGGTTCATTAAGACGTAGTTTGTGCCAGGCCCTAGGCATGAAGTGGAGCGTTATAGCATCACGGGGCCTCAAGTTAACATGTACAGTGTTAACTTGAGACATTTTTCTTTCGAGGGAATTTTGCCGTATAAGATTGGTTTGAGGCCCTCT